TAGAATTCCATTGTGTAGATGTACCACAGTTTTTTAATCCACTCATCTATTGATGGGCACTTAGGCGGTTTCCAAATCTTAGCTACGGTGAATTGTGCTGCTATGAACATAGGTGTGCATATGTCCTTTCTGATTGTTTTTCCTTGCAGATTTGCATCACTTATCACGTGCAATGGCTCAAATGAGATTTAAGGGGAAGAATAATTTTTGCATCACAGAAGAAACATGACATTATTTATTGATTTTTAAATGTATTTTATTGATTGTTTTACAGAGGGGAAGGGAGAGGGATAGAGAGTTTGAAACATCCACGAGAGGGAAACATCAATCAGCTGCCTCCTGCACACCCCCCACTGCGGACGTGCCCGCAACCAATGTACATGACCTTGACCAGAATCAAACCTGGGACCCTTCAGTTCAAAGGCCGATGCTCTATCCACTGAGCCAAACCAGCTAGGGCCAATGTGTTCTTTATTTGTGTTATGTCATTCTTTATTTCTGTTTTCATAGTTACTATATCTTTTCTCATGGTATTGAGCATCTTTACCATCATTATTCTGAACTCTATATGAGATAAATTTCTTATCTCCATTTCATTTATCTCTTCTCCTGGAGAATTTTCTTGTTCCTTCACTTGGGTTTTCTTCTTTCTGTTTGGCTTTGTGACTTTGTATTAGGTAGAGTTAGCCTCTCAATCTCTAATGCAGGCCAGTGTCAGATGCTGTTTCTGACTAATTAGATCAGGCAATGACTCACAGACTCCAGAGACCATCTCTGCCTACAGACTGATAGGATTCTATCTTGGATTGCCCCCAGGCAATCATCCACAGGTGTGGCAAGAGTTTTTCTCAACAGGGTGGGCAATTGCTTCTGTCTGGAGGCTTATTGTTATTCTCAGTCTCTTAATGGGCCTTAGCCACCCCACACTGTGGGGCAAGGTGTTTTCCAATAGAGGGGATCTACTCTCTTCCCCACAAACAAGGCCACCTGTATAACAAATATCTGTGTGAGGAAGATGACCTCCGCAGTGTGAAGGAACGACACAGCACAGGAAACTTCTGAGCTCTAACCCCAGAGCCCAGATCCTGGTTTCTGCTCACACAGCTCCAGTCCATTCTGCCCTCCCTCTGCTGGAGCACAAGGTGGGTAGCTACACAGGGAATTTTGTGCATTGGCCCTTTAAGAGCATGCCTGCATTTCCAGCCATCTCTCCCTGGCAGACAGCAACCCTGCTGCTTTTCACAGCCAGATGTTATGTGGGTACCCTTCTCAGTTCTGGTGCTTTAAATTATACACAGACTCACATGGCCAGCATGTAAGGTCCTAAAGGATGCCGTTTGTGCAGGAACAATGAGGAGAGTCTTCCTGTCTTCTTTGTGTCCCATCCTGTGCTTCTGTCCCTCTCTTGGTTTGCTTTTCATCATTGACTGACTTTTGGGGCCACGATATGTATAACAGCATTTCCCTCAGAGTTTACCTCACTGGTCCTTAAAATCCTTATATGACATCAGGTCTAGTCATGAAATATAAACATTTGTGGTGAAGATATTATGTTTTCATAGGATCAACATGTACCTCACCAGTGTTTCCTTTTGTTCAGGTTACTGCTGTGGAGCAGAGAATGTGGAGGCAGCGACTGAAAGAATGTTTCTGTAAGAGTGTCACGGGCAAGGAATCTTAAGTTAGCCTTGTCTTCCCAGAAGAGCCACTCCTGTGAGAGTTGTGGGCTAGTCTTGGGAAACATTTTCCTGTGATGGAGCTGCAGGGAACACACCACGGACAGATACTGATACTGTTGAGGTGTGGGGCATATGCGAAACGGTGTTATTTCACTGTAAAATTTCACCAGCAACATGTGAGAGAGAAGACTTTCATTAGAGGTGTGGACAGCATTTCCCTTGCAAACAGCTGCAATTTCAATGTGTCCCAGAATCGTTTTACATGCGGGGAGGTTGGGCAGGGTGTCCGTACTGAATCAGGACATCTCCACCTAAAGGCTACTCAGACCAGGGACAGTCGAAATGCTATTTTGACACAGGGGATGACATTTCAAAGGACAAAAAATTATTACACCAGAAAAGAATGTAAGAAAAACATTACCTGCACCCACACGTTTATTCAGGAAAAAGATGTCAATGTTGGAAGTCGATGTTTTGTGTGCTCTGAATGTGGGGAATATGTTACCAAATTTTCTAGCTTGTATTATCTACAGCGAAGTCACAGTGCAGAAAGGCCTAATCAGTGCAGTGAATATGGGAAAGCTTTTAGCAGTAGTAGCAGCCTAGGTGATCATGAAGCTTTGCACACTAATGAAAGGCCTTATGAGCGTAGTGATTGTGGAAAATCTTTTACCAATAGCAGTGTCCTCCATTATGATCAGAGAGTTCTCACAGCAGAAAGGCCTTATGAGTACAATGAGCGGGGAAAAGCTTTTACCAGGAGCAGTAACCTTCATTGTCATCAGAACATTCACACTGGAGAAAAGCCTTATATATGTAGTGAATGTGGGAAAGCTTACACCAATAGCACTAAACTTTCTCGTCATCAGAGAGTGCACACTGGAGAGAGACCTTATCACTGCAGTGAATGTGGGAAATCTTTTATCACCAGCAGTAAACTTGGTCGTCATCAGATAGTTCATACAGGAGAAAAGCCGTATAAATGCCATGAATGTGGGAAATCTTTTACCACTAAGTTTTACCTTCACCTTCATCAGAGAGTTCACAGAGGAGAAAAGCCTTATAAATGCACTGAATGTGGGAAATCTTATACCAGTAATACTGTCCTTTGTATTCATCAGAGAGTTCATACAGGAGAAAAGCCTTTTAAAGGCAGTGAATGTGGGAAGTCTTTTATCACCAGCAGTATACTTCATCGTCATCAGAGAGTTCATACAGGAGAAATTGCTTATAAACGCAGTGAATGTGACAGTCTTTTACAACTGACTCTCACCCTCATTGTCATCAGAGAGTTCACAGAGGAGAAAAGCCTTATAAATGCAGTGAATGTGGGAAATCTTTTACCGCTAAGTTTCAACTTAACCGTCATCAGAGAGTTCATACAGGAGAAATTGCTTATAAACGCAGTGAATGTGACAGTCTTTTACAACTGACTCTCACCCTCATTGTCATCAGAGAGTTCACAGAGGAGAAAAGCCTTATAAATGCAGTGAATGTGGGAAATCTTTTACCGCTAAGTTTCAACTTAACCGTCATCAGAGAGTTCATACAGGAGAAATTGCTTATAAACGCAGTGAATGTGACAGTCTTTTACAACTGACTCTCACCCTCATTGTCATCAGAGAGTTCACAGAGGAGAAAAGCCTTATAAATGCAGTGAATGTGGGAAATCTTTTACCGCTAAGTTTCAACTTAACCGTCATCAGAGAGTTCATACAGGAGAAATTGCTTATAAACGCAGTGAATGTGACAGTCTTTTACAACTGACTCTCACCCTCATTGTCATCAGAGAGTTCACAGAGGAGAAAAGCCTTATAAATGCAGTGAATGTGGGAAATCTTTTACCGCTAAGTTTCAACTTAACCGTCATCAGAGAGTTCATACAGGAGAAATTGCTTATAAACGCAGTGAATGTGACAGTCTTTTACAACTGACTCTCACCCTCATTGTCATCAGAGAGTTCACACAAGAGAAAGTCCTTATGAGTGTAATTAATGGGAGATATCTCTCTGCCTAATTTGTACATTTGCTCTGCACAAAAGAGCCCGAATGTGAAAAATTTCTTAGATGTGTTGAAAATGTAGTTTCTTACTTAGGATTTAACAAATGTATAAGAAAATATATGAAGTCTCATTACTCTGAATTTTATCTCATACATTCAATCACCTACATTATATAATATACCCACAACTATTTTTACTGTTCTGTTTTCTTGTTTGTATGTTGTAGCCATATGTATCTATGTTGGACTTTTTAACATACAGTGCTGTCTTGCCAGGTCTATGTCATTGCATATTTCTGTTGCTGAAGGTATTTCACCTGAACCACTTATAAAAGGCCCCTACAGATGGCATTAATCACTGTCCTCATGGGCCCAGGGAAGCTAACTCTGTTGTCTAAGTTGTTGAAAATGAGGAATACCTGGGGCCTTAGTCTTTCTTGTTTCTCTGTTGTGAGTTGCCACATAGGACTGATTACTGTTGGCCCCAGTAAACATAATCTTGCAGAAGACCTGCCATTTTCACAGACAAACTTTCCCTAGATGCCATTGATGAATTTATTGATTGCTTAAGTAACCAATGAAAGATCTCCCAGCCTCCGTGGCTCTTTTATTGCAAAATAATGGAGGCTTTTCTGTAAGAATTCTTTAATGTTGGTGTTCAGTTGACTCTGTGGGTTAGTTTATGAGGAGATATGGGTTCTCCAAGCATGATGCTGTGAAAAACTTATTTGGGGTTTCAAACATTTTTGCCCTTGGGGGAAGACTACGGTGCAGAAATTGGCTCAGCAGTTTTTGCCAAATTTTCATTGGTGCCCATAATTTCCCAGGAAACACTGTAGTCTCTCTAGTTCTCATTTGAAGCTGGATACCTTGAGACACAGAGATCACTCCAAAGAGGGGTTAGTTGTGACAACCTCAAGTATGTTTTCTAGGAGCTTGAAATTTTTCCTTGTTTTCAAGGAATGCTAAGACATTTGAAGGGAACCTCCTGTCCAGGTCTTGCAGAGGGCCATGTGCCATAATGCCTACAATTGTGAAAATAAGAAAGTAATTAGGAGATACAAAATAAGGTAGAAATCTCCTAGGTTTTGTTTAAGCCACTGTAAAGCAAAAGATGGCTGTGGTTGATATTGTTTAAGGAAGTAACTTTTATTTCTGATCTAGATTGTAAGCTCTGGCGGCAGTTGCATTGTTTCTGAGCTTTGGTTATCTTTGCTTTTGTGATCGGATAGCTCCCAGGGAATTTGGGTCTGTGTGACACGCCAGACTCAGAGTTGGAGGTCTCCAGCTCTGCAGGACGTAGGGCTGCTCATTTTCATGCAGCAGCAGCTAGAGAAAGAGGCTGAGAAGGGACCAGACTTCCACCTGTGCGGACAGGCCTGGTTTGACTGGGACTGGTGTGGACTCAGTGCCAAGGCCAACCATCCAAACGGCCTAATCCAGGGGACTAGTTTTGCATCAATGACATCTTTTTTTTTTTTTTACAGAGAAGGGAGAGGGAAAGAGAGTTAGAAACATAGATGAGAGAGAAACATAAATCAATCAACTGCCTCCTGCACACTCCCCACTTGGGATGTGCTCACAACCAAGGTACATGCCCTTGACTAGAATTGAACCTGGGACCCTTGAGTCCGCAGGACGACGCTCTATCCACTGAGCCAAACCGGTCAGGGCCAATGACATCTTTCTATCAGCGGAATATCAACATGGAGTCAGCTGAAGAAGATGGTGACTGAGGCCAAGCAGATGTTGGAAAAGCAAGTGAAAGCTATGCTAGCTAAACTGCCAGTTGTCTGTAAAATCCTGCGGAGCTAAATCTAAAGACTCTAAGTAAGATATCCGGAAAACGTTAACATGTTTGTAGTTTGGTTTTGCATTGGTATTGCTTTATTAGCCAGAGTTTTGTTCTCTTGTTAAGATTGCTGTGTCTGTAGTTTTGTTAACAGCCAGACGTTTGTTTTTATGTTTTGCTTATGCTGAATTATTTAGAGTTTTTTGGATAATGTAAATAGGCGTATTTAAAAACAAAAGTAAAGGGGAATGTATGGGGCTCAGCTACAGTGTTTTGGACAGGTTCAAGCCTCGGACTAATGAGAGGCCACAGTCCTCTCGTGGCCACGTGCAAGTCCCAGCTGGAGGGCAGAGCCTTCCCAGCACAAATATAGCCAACAGCTATAATTGTAAGCTTGAACCTATGGTCTAAACACGTGGCCCCACGTGCCGGTGTGATAGAATTCAGGTGCATATAGTTGATTAGGGTTGAAACCAAAGAGAATGTTGTAAACAACTTGATCACACCCCTACTTTGCCTCATGGCATCTCTCCTCATCAGGGAGGCAGTGTCCCACAGAGACCCAGCTTTCATTCTCTTGTCTGTCTTTTCTTAACCCTTTCATCACCCCCACTCAGGATCACCCTTGGCTGTGCTGGCTCGGCACAGAAACTTTCTACTAACTAGAGACCCCTTGGTGCAAATTATGTCTGAGGTGTGACAACAGCAGGAAGGAGGGGTATGTAAGAATTTAGCCTTGAAAGTAGCTTATCTTGTTAAGCAGTTTGACCAGAGGAGCTGTGTGAATTAGAGGAGCCAACAATCTTGGGGTTTAATTAGCAGGTGCTTCTCATAAATTGTGGAAGGCCACAGCAAAGAAAAAGACTTTTTTTCTTCTTTACAAATACCTCAACCACATTTAGGACCTAAGGGTTTATTGCCTGAAGAGGGACTACTTCTAGGAGACCAAATAAAGGGACACCAGAAATACTGGGGACATTGTGTTCGTTAGGACGTAAGCAATGGGTTCCAGAGTTAATAAACCACTCATTGAATTTTTTCCTCAACCCACAGGTTCTAAGTCCCCAGTATGGACAAAAATGATGGCACATAGTAAACCTAGCGAGCTCAGGGAGCCTGGCATGGCATGGTCAATCCTAAAAACTCGGAAGCCAAAAGTAACCATATAGGATGGTTTGAAGTTAAACCTTTCTAAGTAAATGTGAGTCTCAGGGGTAGTGATGTCCTAGCCTCTGTGTGTGTGTGTGTATGTGTGTTGCAAAGGTCAATTTTTACCTTATTGAGCCTGTCTGTTGTCTTTTTGCATCTGGGATAACATACCTTTGGATTTTGGATTTTCAGGGACATTTCTGTTTCACAGAGTCCTAACAGCACAATCTCCCAACACAGAAGATCACAGAACACCAATTATTATTGTTCTCGGGTTAAATATTAACAGATCGATAAACTTTTATAAAGAGGTTTGTGGCCCTGGCCGGCTTGGCTCAGTGGATAGAGCGTCGGCCTGCGGACTGAGGGGTCCCAGGTTCGATTCCGGCCGGGGGCACATGCCTGGGTTGCGGGCTCGTCCCCTGGTGGGGGGTGTGCGGGAGGCGGCCGATCGGTGATTCTCTCTCATCATTGATGTTTCCATCTCTCTCTCTCCTTCTCCCTTCCTCTCTGAAATCAATAAAGAAATATATTTAAAAAAAAAAAGAGGTTTGTGCATTTTTTTTTTACTTTTTATCCAATCCCTGAGATTTCCTTCCTTAACTCTCCCACCTAACTTATCACCAGTTAATTTCATTTCACCCGCTTAGAGTCTAATGTATAAAAAAGGTGCAAAACTGCCATTCTACGGAGCATTGCTCCACCTTATTTTCCTTCCTGGCAAATGAGGCCGACTTGGGTCAAGTAAACTTAAAAAATTCTCCACAGGTTTGGATATTTCTTACAACTACACCAGAAGCAATTGACTCATGTGAGGCTGGAGAAGGTTACATGGAGGGGTATCCGCATTTCCAGGGACTCAACTGACGGAAGACAGATTTATACACACAAATGTAGAGCAGACCCAGAACGCAGCAAGCTAGAGCTTTCCCCTTGCTTTCGGAGAACAGAAGAAAATGCTACCGACCCTCAGCCTCCCAGCCTGGGCTCCATGCATACCCCACCCTCCCCTCACCACCACCACCCCCTTCACCCAAGGCTGGAGGGCCCTGCCAAGTGGAAAGCCATGTTCTGAGGCACATCCTTGCCCTACTGGGCATGTCTTCCCAAAATGAGGCCCAAGACCTGGGTTCCGGGAAGTTGAGTGAGCCTCACACTGAGAAGGACCAGCACCCAGTTTCTAGGAGATGCAGCAGGCAGGGCACAGGCCGCCCAAGAGGGGCTAGCAGTGGCAGCAGATCCAGCCAGCCCTGCTGCCCCAGGGAGTGAGGGTGCGAGCAGAAGCCACCTGGGCACAGGAAGCCAACTCGGTGTCAGTGAGGACTGGGGTAAGCAGCTTTGTCCTTCCTACACTGGCCCCTCCCTGTTGTGTCCAGAGGCACAGAATCGGACTGGCAGGTGGGCGATGTTCCAGTCCAGCCTAGAGCCGTCCAGGGGTGGGCGGGCATGCGGAGACCAGTACCTGGGTGACTTAGTGGCTCTTGAAGGGATGCAAAGGCCTACATGGCACAGGCTGGGGGGACATGCCCAGAGCTCGGGAGGCAGCGGCTTCCTGGGTTCCTTTGCTGCGTCTGAAAAGCAGTGCTGTCCCGGCCAGCACCCAGGCAGAGGTGCCCAGAGGAGGTGCGGGCAGGCAGGTCCCCATGCAGCCCGTGGGTCTCCTGCCTGGCACATTGCAATCAGGCCGCCTGCTATAGGAGGAAGGGTCCTTGTGTCTACAGACTGGACTGATGCCAAGGGCATGGCTCCTCGGTGGCACAGGTGGCCCCGCCCAGACCCCATCTGTGCTGAGAGGAAGGAGCAGCTCCAGGAGGGACCATCGCTCCCTTCACAGGCCCCTCCTGGGGCAGTAGGGCCGCCTGCCTGACCCTGAACTCTGAGAACTGGAAGTGTTTAACTTGGATCGAGGCGCCTTGAAAGCTTCATGTATTTATAACTTCTTGTTTAAAAACAGTGTTGAGAAGAAATCTTTGGTTATTCATCCAAAAGCTGAGTTGTTGGGAGACAAATCATAATCTAATTGTTTTTGTGGAGGGTAAGAGCGAAAGTTGCTGATGAAATAAACGTGAACGGGAGAGAAAAAATAAAAGGAAGTGCTCAAAGCTCAGGTGACTTTGTTTTTATTGGGTGTGTGCAGGTTTTTTTGTGGGTTTTTTTGTTTGTTTGTTTGTTTTTTAATATATTTTATTGATTTTCCACAGAGAGGAAGGGAGAGAGACAGAGAGTTAGAAACATCGATGAGAGAGAAACATCGATCAGCCGCCTCCTGCACATCCCCCACCAGGGATGTGCCCGCAACTCAGGTACATGCCCTTGACCGGAATCGAACCCGGGACCTCTCAGTCCGCAG